TTCCAAACTCTTCAGTCAGCCAAAAAAAACAAACCTGTTGCCGTGACATCGATTCTGACTCATGGCGATCCCATTTATTACAGAGTAAAACTACTCCATAGGGTTTTCTTGGATATAGTCTTTATGGACGCAGATCGCTAGGCCTTTCTTCTGTGGCTCAGCTGGGTAGGTTCAAACTGCCAACCTTTCAGTTGGTAGCCAAGTGCAAACCATTTGCACCACCCAAGGACCTCTCATTCCTCAGCCAGATGCAGCCTATTAGGAGAGTAGACCTGGTAACATATGTAGATATGGTAAGAGCAGACATGGTAAAGTGTGACTCACCATGCAAAAGAGGCAAAGACTTCACAAACCACATGTTCCCACCTCCATGGTCCTTGCATGACCTGCTGCTGTGACAGGGTTCTCGAATGCACAGAGGTTGCTGTGAAATAGCCTGAGTGATGGAGAAAGTTCCTGGGGTCTCTATAGAGGAAAGCCTGACAGAGGCAGGGCAGCAAGGCAGAGCTACGAGAACAGTTGGGCCAGAGAGCCCAGGCAACCACAGCAATAATAGAGCTTCTGCCGATTGAGGGCTTACCACTATCCTACCAGTTGTATGTGTGTTAACTCTTTTAATCATCACGATGACCCTATGAGATGGCTCCCATTATGATCCCTCAGGGTAGTTTTGTAATTTGCCCACAGAGCTGCTGAGGAGCAGAAGCAGGATCTCATCTGTTGGTCCAGTGTGGAGTCCACACCACGAAATTTCTGCTCTACTGCTGAAGGAGGTGTCTGGGGGCCAGAGGGATGAAGGTTATCCACGAAGAGGTAAGATAAGAGAGAGTGCACCCATGATGGGAATCTGACCAAATCCAGATACGAACTAGCTCTCAGGCCTGACTTGGGACTGTGGAGCTCTCTGCACTGTCCTCTTGCACTCCACCTTCTTGAAAGAAGGATGCTGGGTAGCCAGAGCAGGAAGAGCTGACCCACCCCTGAGCACCAGGACTGTATCTCCACTTGTGCATCTGATTAGTTCAAGTAACGTTAGGAAAATGCAACTCTTCCTTCAACTGGGAGATCCCCTCTTCCAGCAGCCATCAGAGGCAGGGGCCACTCCTCCATTTGCCTGCTCCTCATATCTCCTTTAGGATGACTTTTAATCCATAAATGCACAACGTCTCCTCTCAAAGCCCCATCTCTCCAATCTGTACCTTCTTCATCCCCACAGCTGCTGCTCTGGTCAGACCACCTCCATCTTCTGGAATATTTCAGCTACAACCACCGTGTTACCCAGATCCATCAGGTGCCATTACATAGAATAATATAGTGTGTGTGAGGCCCCTTTGTGCTGTAGAACATGGCCGCTCTCAACAAGCCTTCAACAAGTGTTCCTGACCATCCTCCAAAATATGCTTAAAATTGATTTGATTGTCCTAATCTCTTATGTTAGGGTCTCCTTTGTCTCAAGTCCCAACACTTCCTCCCACACACCATTTGTCCCAATCTGGATGACACCTACTTCCCAGAAGTCACCATATCTTCTGATTCCTCAATATTCTCGTAACTGGGACCCTTTCACCTTTTATCCATCCAACTCTCAAGGCCCAGGTCAAAGGTCACCTCTGAGAGCCAGGGGCAGACCCCAGGCCGAGTGAGCCATGCCTCCACCCATTCTATGCACTCTCCGATGGCACTCTTTGATGCTCAGCCACCACCCCAGCCCGTAAGCTCCTCACGAAGCCTACAGTTCATAAGCATAGACTCAGTGAATGCCTGTGAATAAGTGAATGATCTCAGGTTGCTTCTCTCCTCGCCCGTCTCACGTTGCTCACTTCTGGCTCTGTAGGGAGTAACTGGGTGCGGTTGTAATGCAAGTACAATGAAAGCCAGTGCTGACTTAGTAACCCACAGGTTAAAAAAAAAAAAAGTGACTCTACTACCTCACTTAATTCTCACACCCACAAATGAACTCACCAGCATGCATGTTGATCCTAAATCAAACCAAAACCAAACCCGTTGCCGCTGGGTTATTCTGACTCATAGCGACCCTGTAGGACAGAGTAGAACTGCCCAACAGGGTTTCCAAAGCTGTAAATCTTTACAGAAGCAGACTGACACATCTTTCTCCCACGGAGCCACTGGTGGGTTCTAACTGCCGACCTTTCAGTTAGCAGCCGAGCACATAACCACTGTGCCACCAGGGCTCATGATGATCCTAGAGGCTTTATATTAAACAAAATGGAGGGAAGCAGAAGGCCTTTCAAATTCTCCACCCTTCCCCTTTCACCACTCGGGTAATTGTTCTTTTGAAAAGAATAGTCTGAAAGTCAGAATCTGCATCCGATTTCCCTTTCGTCCTTCCTTTGTCTAGATCAGTAGTCTACTGTGTATAAGTGTTATTGCCACCACAAAGCCACATGCATATCTCTATGGAATTTTCAAGAGTGATTTTGACAATACTCCATCTTTACCTTATACCCCTATGTTAAGGCCTTAACCTCTGTTCAAGATCCCACACCATGTTCTCTGTTGTCCTGTGACTCCTGAATTATTGGGCATCTCCAGTCCTCTGTGCTCTTATGCTTGCTCAAACCTGGATGGTCTGAGAGGACAAAGGCTGCATCCAGAACTCACCCATCCCAGCAAGAGAGTTTGTCCCTCTCATGGTTATTTAGAGCTGGCTACTGAGTGGCCCAGAGCCCTGGTGGCATAGTGGTAAAGAGCTTGGCTGCTAACTAAAAGGTTAGCAGTCTGAATCTACCCGCCACTCCTTGGAAATCCTGTGGGGCAGTTCTACTCTGTCCTATAGGGTCACTACGAGTCGAAATCAACTTGAGGGCAACAGCTATGGTTTTGGGTTTACTGAGTGGCCCAGACAGTTTGTGTTCAACTACCAACCTTGAACTCAGCCAGCAGTGCTGGGGAAGAAAGGCATGGTGATCTCTTCCATAAAAAATTACAGCCGAGAAAATCCTGTGAGGCAGTTCTACTCTGTAACACTTGGGGTTGCCATGAGCAGGAATCCACTCGACAGCAATGGGTTTAGCTTTTTGTTTGTCTGTTTACTGGGCTGTAGCAGTGGGTGACAAAGACAGCACCTGGGAAAGTGTTTCCCCTTGTCAACGATCTGCCTCTCCTACTTGGCAGCATGTGTACCACCAAGAGTATGGACACACGGGTCAGTTCAATGTGCCCCAAACTCTTGCAACAACACTCCTTACTATCTCCAATCCAAGAAGTACAAGTGATGTACCAACTCCCTTTCCTGAACTTCCATATCAACTGAAACATCGTTGGTAGGACTGGGGTGAGTTAAGACGGTGCTGGTGCAGAGCTCAGTCCCCAGCTTTGTCAGGTAGTCCATAAAAGCAAGTATTAAACTGGATCTACTCCAAATAAAATGCTTTAAAATGGATGTGAAGCCAGAGCAGTGCTTCATTAAGTGAGCTTCATGGGAGACGGTGGCTTCAACAGAAACGCAACATACATGGCTATAAGACAAACATTTGCAGGCATCAGCAGTGTGGCTCCCTTGGGCTTTCTTCCCCTTAGATATTGGCAAAAGTAATTTCATTCAATTACCAATGGCTTTGACGTCAGCTCTACAGTTTTTGAAACCCAGTTGTTGCAATACACCCCTCTCACTGACACCTCATGGTTACAAAACCAGAAGGACAGCCGTGCCCAGAGCTGCTTGCCCTGTGCCCTGGCTCCTTGCGGACTGGCGCTGCCCCTAAGCCACCAACATCCCACCTCAGCAGAGTGAAGCTTCATCAGCAACGTCTCTCACAAGACAGAGGGAACATTCTAAAGTGACCTCTTGCCTTTTGGCTCTGGAGGAAAGGGGCAAGAGGGCAGGGGAAAAAAGAGGGAATGTCCACCCTGCGGACTGAGTCAGGAGGAGGACGTGGCTTGTTTAATCCTAATAAATCAGAGTGTCCTTGGGAGGTGGAAGCAACAGGGGGAGGGTGTGTGAGCCGCGCCACAAACTGACCCCGGCCAGCGTGCATGGAGAAATGATGTCCTCTTCAGCAGGCTCCTGGAGAGATGGTCTGCATTGCTCCTGACAAATTAGAAGTGCCCTGAATGCAACCATTCCTCAGAAAATAGGCCTGATTTAGCAATGCTCAAGCTGCCATTATCTCACTGCATAAAAAGACCATTTAAACAGGGAAACCTTTAGAACACCGGCCCTCTGGAGGCAGCATTTCTGAAAAATTACCCCCCTCGACTGCCATCTAAGCCAGTCATTCCCCAGGGGAAAAGACTCATTTATAGACTCGGAGACGGAGTGGGCTTTCATCAAAGGAAAGGCGTTATTTGTCTCCAGTCTCTGCATGAGCTTCCCTTGTGCCCCTGTCCTCCTCAGCCCTCTCAGGTGATCAAGCCAAGTCAGGAGCTATGCTGTGGCGACCCTCAGCACCATCCCATCCAAAGCTCCTTCCTCTGTTCAGGGCGGCAGAGCCCTACTGAATCCCCATTGAATACCAGAGCAATTACAGAGCAGGTCTGGTGACAATGCCCTAAAGATGAAACGATCCATTTGCACAAAGTGTTGGTGTTTGAAAACTTTGCATGCAATGAGTACAACCTGTCATTGTCCTCCCCAGAGACGCACTACCTTTTTAAAAAGTATCTCTAATGAGATCTACAAATCTACGTTGAAGACCGCTTATTGTGTTTGTAAAGATAAAAATGTTCTAAATAGGTCATGGCTCCTGGGACTGATAGTTCCCACCATGAGGGTAAGGTCATTTTGGAATGTTAATAAAGGTTTTCATAAAATATGATGGCACTCAAAGAGTAATGTTTCGACGTAAAAATAACTATAAAAGTATAATTTCTACCAGGGTACACATGCATTTTTTGTGCATCAAGATATTTGCCCAATTCTTCATTTAACAGGGGTTGCTGGTTTTCCAGCTGTTTTGACGGCCATGCTGGGATTCCATCCTTATTAGTCAGGGCTGCCCCAGCCTTTCCTTGGCTTTCCCATTATGTTACAAACTTACCTTAGAAGCAAAGTCTTGCACTGCCCTGGTCGTCATGCTAATACACTAGCACTCCACCTATGCTCAGCTCAGCTTGCTGCAGGCTGCACCAAAGAGAGAGAGAAGCAAAACTGAGAGAGTGAAGGAGAAGGGGCATCCTGGGGGCTTAGCCCAGGCCTTGGGGTTTCTGGGCTAGTCCAGGCAGAACAGGCCAAATTGGAAACATTCGGTATTTCCTATTCAATGAGCTCTTTTGTGTCTGAATTCAACCAACCCAAAGGAAGCATCTCAGAAGCATTTTCTAGGTGATGAGATGGCTAATGAGAATGGTCTGTCCTCTCTGTTTTCCAGATCCTATTGGCTCAAAGGAACCCCGGTGTTCCCATAAGGGAACTTGGGACATGTGGGATCTTCAGGGCCCAAGGTTGGGAAAAAAATCTCCCTCAGATACTCAATGAAGGGAAAACTAAGACATGCTGGGATTTGGGGTCATGATTTGGGACAGGGAAGAGATAGCTGGTCACACAACCTTCAGCAATAGGTTTTCTTTCTCAGTATTATCCAAATGTTTAGGTAATAATACCAACAGCGTACCATTTTTCTGAATATCAAGGGACATGCTCTAGCCCTCTCTGCCCCTCCCTACCCTCCTACACACCCTGTAGAATGTTTATCCTGGGACCTAAGAGATGGGCTGCTCACCTGGTCTTCCATATCTATTGTTTATGACATAAACTTTAGACTCTGAGCTCTTCAAGACTTTGTTATTCAAAAAGCCTAGCTCTGGCAAATCAAAACCCTTTGACCATGAGTGAGTTTTAGAATCTTGCTTGAAACTTTAGAATTATTGCTCACAGGGAAAATGGTACTTTGTAGATGTGATTAAGGGTATGAAATTTAAGATTGGGCAATTATCCTGGATTATCCAGATGGGCCCAAATTTTGGTTCTGCTGTGCTGTGGCAACTGTTTCCTGAGACAGGGTGGTAGGATGCCACAGCTTCCTGAGGGAGGGTCAAGGGATACCATGTAAGGACACAGAGGATGGAAAAGGACCTTGGTTAATGTCTCAGAATGTTATTCCACAATTCTTCCTAATCCTGGATGGAATACCCACTGACTCCATTCATAACTCTGTTCAATTCCACCACCCCTAACTGGACTTCCTGGCCATCCCATACAGAAAAACCCCATCATTCTCTACCTATCTCCTTACTCTGCTTGATTTTTCTTCTTACACCTAATTCTCTGAGATATTATAATATATACTTATTTGTTTATTATCCTCCCTCCCCATTAGAATGGAAGCTCCATGGGGCAAAGACTTTGCCTTGTTCATTACTTATTCTTAGTACTTAGAACAATGCCTGATACACACCAATGGTTCAATAAATATTTGCAAATGAATGAATGACAAATGAATGGACGAGGGATAGGACATGATCCAAATCCCTTGCTTTCTGGAGGCTACAAGGCTACTCAAAGCTGATGGCTAAGTCAACTGTGTCTGATGATCACTCAAAGGATACCTTCTCTATCCCATGTCTGGTGGGAAAAAAATTCTAATTCAAACTCAGAATCTATGCGTATGCACAGCATTGTTTGCGACATGACCCTGTGGAGTCAACCAAATGTCTTCCTTTGTTCTATAAAATTCCAGATTCAAGCCTGATTGAGAAAAACAATCTAAAGAGATTTTGAAAAGAATGGGGAAGTGCTTCCTTAGGGCAAATGCCTTCAAAATGCTGCCTTGTGTTGTAGTGAACTCACCATCACCGGGTATTCAATCAGAAGCTGAGTGACATCTTTCAGGAATGTGTCAGAATGAATTCCAAAATGAGTAGGCGATCAGAGATTAAATCTATGATTCTTTACAACTTTGAGGAGTTATGATCACGGTAGGCAGAATAATGGCCTCAAAGACATCCACACCCTGAGTCCCAGAACCTGTGACTGTTACCTTACTAGGCAAAACGGATTTTGCAGATGCAATTAAGAGTTTGAGCCTTGAGATGAGGGCCCAAACTAATGAAATGAACTCTTAAAAATGGAGAACTTTCTCAGCTTTGGTCAGAAAGAAAGACATGAAGATGGAGGAAGGGTCAGGGAGATGTAACGTTGTTGGCTTTGAAGATGGGAGAAGGAGAGACTCGTGTTCAAACTTCTCACCTACAAAACTGTAAGGTAGTAATTTTTTATTGTTTAAGCCACTTAGTTTGTGGTAATTTGTTACAGCATCAAGAAATCATATGATTTCTTGTTCAAAACAAAGAATAATTGTTGATCAGAAAATTCTGAGTCCCAAGTTTATTCAACTTTAGTCTCCAATGTGGTATAAATGAGTTCTAATGGGAAGTGTCCTTATCCAAAATTGAGCAAAGTAACTGAAGATACCGGGGAAGAACATGACAAGTTTTAGAAAGGACATTCTGACCCAAGGGAGTTCAATATTTAGTCAATTTAAATCCTACAAAGTATTTCCTCCAACACACATATAAAAAAAATTCAGTATCAGGAGGCAACATAGGGCCAGCCCTTTTCCTCCCTGAGATCTGGGTGACTCCACCGAGTTCATGGCTCTCACAGTCACACGTGTTGTTGAGACCCAGGAAGGGGAAATATCCGATCCACGGTAGGAACTATGCTGGAGAGATAAGTGTCTAAGGGGGCAAGCTCATTAGTCGCTCTGCAGGGAGCTGTCCTAGTATTTCTTGTCTCCGGACAAGGAAATAACCCCCATTTCAGACTTTGAGGAAAACACTACTATAAAAATCAGTCAATTACCAGCTCAAATTTTTATGGGAAACTTATTTTTACCCCAACTCCCATCCAAGTGGTGTCAGCTTGTCTGTCTTGGAAACTACAGCAGATACTGAAGAATGTCGAAAAAAGAGTAACTTTCCTGTATTGTGGTTCACCATAATTTAAGCCTATGTCCTTATACTGTTAATACCAACCACAAGTCATGCATCGAGAAACCCAGGCTACTGTAAACTTTTCTGCCAATTTCTTCAGGCTGGGACCCAAATCAGACTCAGCCTCTCCTATTCAGTATCTCCATCTTCTTCCCAGTACTCACCCTCTTCTGCTTCCTATCAAAATGGCCTGAGTGTGGGTACATAGAGGCCAGGTAAAAACTGGAGTCTTTACCCAGGTCCAGCTCTGACTAGGTCCACCTGGTGGTAATTTCCCAAGACCTTCAATGTATAATTGAAGTGGGCATACTTGGAAGTTGATAGACTCCCAAATTGGTTCTGTGCACCTTTGGTTAAGAGCTATTAAGTGTGTGAAAGGCAGTAGTGGAAGCCTCTGAAACATCCCCTGCACACAGCCAAGATGTTGTTGTTGTTGCTAGGTGCCATCAAGTTAGTTCTGATTCAGCGACCCTATGTACAACAGAACGAAACACTTCCCTGTCCTGTGCCATCCTCACAATTGTTGTTATGCTTGAGCCCACTGTTGCATCCACTGTGTCAATCCATCTCATTGAGAGTCTTCCTCTTTTTTGCTGACCTTCTACTTTACCAAGCATGATGTCCTTCTCCAGGGACTGGTCCCTGCTGATAACATGTCTAATATGTGAGATGAAGTCTTGCCATTCTTACTTCTAAGGAGCATTCTGGCTGCACTTCTCAAGACAGATTTGTTCGTTCTTCTGGCAGTCCATGGTATATTCAATATATTCAATACAGACAAGATAGTAAATATATATGATGAACGGGGGATGCTTACCATCATATCATATTTAGTTTACCGGTCTGATCCCTACAAAAACCAAACAAATTTTGAAGGATGACAGTGGACTACCTTGGTAAGATATGTGCACTCCAGAGAGGAGGAGATACACCCTAAGAGAATTCAGAGACCCACCAAACAATGAAGTTATTAGGGGTCCAGTGGTCTAAGGCACACCAGGACATCCCATCCAAAGTAAAGGACAAATTATTGCATCTTACATCACCAGCAACTGAAAAGAAATCACAGAGTCTGGAGGCCCCATGTGTTGTGGAGGCAGCTGCTCCACCCTTCAGAATATGGCTAAAACTGTTTTACTGAGTGACAAGAAAGGCTGCTAGCTTTGAGAGGAGCCCAGAGCAGGAAAGGGCTCTGCAGCAGGTCCAGGATGCAATGCAATCACTCATGACCCAGCAGACACGGTTTTATTAGAACTAACTGCGGTGGGAAAAGACTCAATGTGGAATTTTTGCAGCAAGGAATTATATCATTTGAAAAAACAACTCATGGTATGTTACTGGGTCCTGGTAGAGATAGAGTGACTGACCGTGGAATATCAAGTTGCCATGTGGCTAGAGCTATCCATCACGAACTGGGTTTTGTTAGACCCACCAAGTCATAAAATCATGTCAAACCAGCAGCAATCCATTATATGAAGGAAGAGTCACACCTAGGATTGGCATGAGTGGGGCCAGAGGGCATAAGTAAGCTGCATAAGCTGGTAGCCCAGACACTCATTTCATCCACTACTATTGCACTCAAACCTCTTCCCTCAGCTAGTATCTATGACATCTGGGGGGTGGATCCCTTATGACCAGCTTACAGAGAGAGTTAAAGGCTGAGCTTGGTTCTCAGGTGGATCAGCTCAGTATAGGAGCACAAGGTCAAACAAATCATTGCTGCAACACAGCCCCCACTCAGTTTATGACCTTTAAAAACAGTGGTGAGGGAAATCTTCCCAAGCCTGAGCTTCAGATGGGGAATGTGGTAATTAACTCTGTGTAGAAAAATAAATGGAGTGAGATAAGAATACATATGAAATTATGGCAGTAGCAAATAGTTTGGCTGGTTGGTCGAGAGAACTGGAAGGAGAATGATTGGAAGACTACAGACAAGGAGGCCTGGGAAAGAGGGTATGGATGAATCTGTGGGAGTGAGCTCAAAGTGTGATGATCTTTGTATCACAGGATCATGCCCACTAGGAAGCATTCACCATGGAAGAAGCACTACACAATCAAGCAGCAAACACTATTCATCCAGTTGAGGTCAGCAAGCCTCCGTCATTGACCACTCCAGTGCTGGGTCAAAGGGATTATAAATGGAGTAGCCATGGTAGTGGACACAAAGATTATGCATGGA